GGGTGGGACTGATAACAATGAAATTACATAATCTTCCGCCAGTTTTATCAGAACAGGGGTCCACCAAACAAGGCGCCGATCGACCTGTGTTACATAATGGGAATAGACGACACTGACCTTAAGCGAACCAACAGTCAAGTTAAAATGGAGATCTGGCTAAGTGTTAGACGTTTGTATACAACTACTGGTGTTTATACATGAGAAGAGTATATTCATACTTATTTGTAAAATACCTGGGTGTCTTATAGATTTAGATCTCTTTCTCGTACATTGCAGACTTTCATGTTGTGTCTTTAGTTAATACTATATATATATATATATATATATATATATATATATATATATATATATATATATATATATATATATATATATATATATATATATGTATATATATATATGTATGTATATATATATATATATATATATATATATATATATATATATATATATATATATATATATATATATATATATATATATATATATATATATATATATATATATATATACATACATACATACAGATGGTACATGTTACCCAGTTGAATGTGTGCCCCGCTATTTATATATATATATATATATATATATATATATATATATATATATATATATATATATATATATATAAATATATATATATATATATATATATATATATATATATATATATATATATATATATATATATATATATATATATGTATATAGTTTAGAATATAACACGAGTAGTTTTCTATGAGACTGCAGAAATACTCTGATGTCAGAAACCTTTAACAGACTACTCTAATTGATGTAACATAAATCCCAGATTTTCTGCCATTAATAATTAATTTCATATTTCCAACTCGCTGTCGCTGGGCGCTTTCTATCGAGTTTGTTTCTTGGTTAATGCCAACTGACTGTACTCTTTCTTAAGACTTTTATCATATTTTATGTTGCTGAATTTAGGCTGTGATTCAAACTTCAACGCGTATACATACATATATATATATATATATATATATATATATATATATATATATATATATATATATATATATATATATATATATATATATATATATATATATATGCACACATATATTTGTATGTATGGTGTAAAGAGGGCGAGTCAGCGACGCCTAACGATCGTACATTAAGATAAAACATGTTTGACACCCGCACAACGTTATCTTTGTTTTCTGCATTAAATTATTTGCATCTGGGTGTCGGGTGGTGGGTGGGGGCGGCATGAAATATGGCTCCCCTGGGGCGCCTTCTAACTTTCCATCGCTGCCACTGATAAGCGGACAGGAGACACCGCAACCTGAGACAGGTGTTGTGTATGAGAGTACACATTTTTGTTTCATGTCTAGTTTTTGTGTCACCCCCACCCCCCTCGTTCTCGCCCCCCCCCCTCCCCACCAGCAGCATCATACTAATGGGACGTCACTCCATCATAACCACAGCAACCCGCGGGAAACAATCGTTTATTAATTTAGACGCGACGTCATTCGGAGAACAAAAAAAAATAAAGAGAGAAAAAAATCACATTGGGCGCCGAAAACTACAGCCCAATCAAATGTATCTACCGTGTCACATGATCACGCTGCCCTCACCCCCCCCCCCCCACTCGTTCGATGTGTCACGGTTGTACGTAAAAAGGGGTGGAATGACCTTGCTGAAATCAGGATCCCATTACGACCTTGACCTCTTGACCAGGCACCGTTGCCAATGAATATTTGGCATTTTTTTTTGGCTCCACCGCAGTGACGTCATCGTATTGATATTTAAACAAAAAAATGTCGCCAGTTATACGTCACACCTTTGTGATGAGGTCGGGCAGGGAGGGATAGGGAATAGGGGAATAGGGGAATAGCTACATCATGGGAAAATCATTAGCCTATGACCGCACTAATAAACGAACAGACGTTTATCGAAACAATTTATACTGCCTGAAAAGTACAAAATCCTACACGCTATAGAAAACCTGAATTCCGAAACAATTTATACTGGCGGAAATTACCAAATCCTTCATACTTAAGATAACCAGAATTCCGGAACAATTTATACTGCCTGAAAGGTAAAAAATCCTACTTTTATAGATCACCATAATTCCGAAACAATTTGTACTGCCTGAAAGGTACAAAATCCTACTTTTATAGAAAACCAGAATTCCGAAAAAATTTATACTACCTGAAAAGTACAAAATCCTACTTTTATAGAAACGGAACAATTCATACTACCTGAAAAGTACAAAATCCTACACGCTAAAGAAAACAAGAATTCCAAACATTTTCCGGAAAACGTGGTAACTAAACAGTGAAACAACGTGCCCGAACTGTAGAGAGCACGACAGCTATCCCGAAAGTCTCGAGTTCGGCAACGTGGTTCATGAAGGCATGTTAGTACATGTAAAGGGGGGAATGTGCCTAGAACTGATCGCACTATTGAAAAGCTACGGCACAGGACAGCTCTACTTCACCTACACTATTGACCATCAGCGTAACTTGATGTTGTTTTTTATCAACATCATCCTACAAGGTGCCCCTGATGTTAGTGAGTCAAGATATTTGACCCGTAGCACCCTAACATATCCGGCGTGTGTATGTACGACGTCCCTGAGTCCACCCAGCTCTGATGGGTACCTGGCTCATGTTGGTGAAAGTAAAGGCTGACCATATTATACCTTCACATGCGGTAGACTGATGCGAAAGTTTCGAGTTCGAATCCGGGTCCAAGTCAGCTAAATGTCTCTGAGTCCACCCAGCTCAGATAGGTATCTAACTTAAGTTATAGAGAATATAGGCGGCTGTGCATAGTCCTGACCACACTATTCCTTCAAATGATGAGATCACAGAAACAGGTGAATCTACTTCACTTTGCTTACAACATGCCATGGTTCTTGTAACAGGTGAACTCTACTTCACCTACCTTAAAACAGTACTTTACAAACCGAAAAAAAGCATCTCATCCTTATTAAGAAGAAGAAAAAAAAAACAACGCCTACTAATACAACCATTCTGATTGATTTTTTTTTCTAACAGATAAACACCACTTCTCCTGCTCCCTGGAATGTCAGGGAAATTCCTTATTACATTCCGAGGTCATTAATACAGATGAACACTACTTCACCTACCTTCCGGACCGCAAGGTTCGAAACTGTACTTTACTAACAAAAAAAAAAAAAAAAAAAAAAAAAAAAAAAAAAAAAAAAAAACCACATCCCTATTAAGAACGCCTACAAATACAAATACATTCTCCGATTTTTATTTTATTTTTCCAGATGAACTATACTTGACCCGCCCCATAGACCGTCACGTTCGGAAAGGGAACTTTACTTACTACCACATCCGTATTAAAAGAAGAGAAAAAACCTACGCCTACACACAAATACATTCTGGGATTGTTCTAGCCATTGTTTGTTCTGCCGTGCTGTAGAAAAAAAAAAGTACTCAAACAAAAATAAACACGGTATATTTCCTATGTTCGGATATAACGGTTAACGGTTATGTCTGGGGTTTGATGGCGTGTAGGAGGAAGAGATGTATGTAACTTGTATGTACTATGTATGTATAATGTCGTATTGGCAAGCAAAGATTCTAAAGGAACGCCTCGTTGTACGAGCAAATGTGGCTAGTTTCTGCCTCGTTGTACGAACAAATGTGGCTAGTTTCGGGGTCAGCCATAAACGACCTCAAATTTTTTTTGTGACGTTTTTTTTTTTGCCTCTTTTCGATATCGTCAAATATGGGAACAAAAACTAAAACAAAGTCTGACTCCCACCTTTGAAGTGACGTCATACCTCAGCCACCCCCCCCCCCGTCTTAATTTTTTAAAAATACCTATATCTTTTCTAAAACATTTAGTGATCGTGGTCATCATTGAGTATTTAGTCTATTTCTTTTACAATTTAAAAGAAAAAAAAAACATGCAAAAAGTCAAATATTAGTTTATAACTTTAAATAAAATGCATAATTGTGTAGTCTCATTTTCTGACACCTCGCCCCCCCCCCCCCCCCCCTGGTCATACAGCATCACAAAATTACAAACCCTCTTCCCTCTAAAAAAAATGGGACCTCGTTTCTGGACAACCATTTGAACAAAAAAACCCACACAAACTAATAGTAATCCGGCTTTTTTTGTGTGATGAATTGTATTGGGCCATTAATAGAAGTCGTAATAAAATTAAAAAAAAAAATGTTCATAAATAATTTTGCGTTAAGATGAGGGTTTCTTTCAGACATATTTTGGGGTGTACTGGCCAGCAAGTTCTATCGGGAAAAATCCCGGTGGGCCCCCATAAAAACATCTCGGGGGGGGGGGGGTACCGCATGAAAGGTACTTTAGTAATGTTCATATTAGCGTTTTGATTTTATAAAAACCAATTGTATTTGAAAACAGAAGTGACACCATTTTGGGGGGTGACACCAAGGCAATAAATTGCAAAATATATACAGAAAAATGATAGAGAGATTGAAGTGCGCACATGGGCTTTTATATATTAGGATAATGCCTATCTTTTATTCATAAAAATAAATAAAATATTTTTCAAGATTGATTGAAAAACGATAAAAAAAACAACAAATCAATGTTGGTTCGGGTATTAAAATTTGTTGCGTTGTGTTTTACTTCTGCAAAAACCGTGACCGGAAATTGCGTGTGATCGCGTCGTCTCGCCTCTGCTCGCGACACGCCGCCGTCCACCGTGTCACACCCGCCGCGCCGTACGGTGTCAGCCCCGTTTGTGAGGGCCGGCGAGAGATTCCGGTAGGATAAAATTTTCAACACCGTCCGTGTGCTTGCGCGGTAGAAAGGTCCGGGTGAAGCGCGGTGGTACGGCTGTGGGCGTATCGTTGACGGTAAAAACACCGACCGCTAGGCTAGGGGCGCTGTACTGAACTTGGAACAAACACCTCGAACAACTTCAGCGGAAGGTAGCAGCCTAAGGTAGCCAGTTTGAGGTAGCACGGAGTGGTTGTTGCTTATTTAGACAAAAATAAACACGTTTTAAAAATAAAATAGAATTAGTAGACCTACTGAGCGATACGAAGTCTCTATAGTTTAAAAATAAAAAACAACCGGATTTAGTAAAGGGAAGGAACTCTATCTTATATAAGTTCAGACAAGGAGAGTTATCCTTTTTTTAATTGAAACGTTAATTGGATTAATTTTGGATGCTTTGTATGAAAAAAAAACAACCACTTTCTGTAATATTAGTCAATTTTCGTTGCTTGTGGAAGCGAATTTTTAAGATTTTAAAACTAAATACTTGTGTGCGTGTCGGGCAAATGTGTGACCTTCACCTTAAGGACAACTCCAGCATCCGGTGACCACCTGGCCCCTGGCTAAATGGTTAAAGTGGCCGACAGACGGTTAGTACATCATTTATTTATTCATTCTTATTTTCTTAGTTTAACCTCCAATAGGGCAGTTGAAGTTTAATGCGTCTGATTTTTACCCCCCCCCCCCCCCCCGATTAATTCGGGGAACTTGCAATGTTTAAAAAAAATATATGCTAGGTATTTATTACTGCTGCGTGAACTCTTGAACAGGTTTCCTCTATATGCGAAGAGATTTCTAATGGTGACGTCAACTTTAGCAATTTAGTTATAATCCATCGCTCTACCTCTTGGCCATTGTACACAATGTTTTATATATATATATATATATATATATATATATATATATATATATATATATATATATATATATATATGTGTGTGTGTGTGTGTGTATATATACATATGTGTGTGTGTACACATGATGACAGCGTTTCAATGTCGTCCGTTTGTTTTATTTTATTTTCAATTTTCTCTTAGTCAGCAATTTAATATTGCAGCAATGATAGGGTGGGTTGGGGGTGGGGGCGTATTGTAATCAAGTTCAGGAACTTTAACAACGCAAAACTAGAACACTCATGTCCTACAACTTGGTCATGTATCAACGGATTCCCGTCCTTTTTTTTGAAGAGAATTAGTGTTTTAAACATCTTTATTAGAATCAATGTAAAAGCCCTAAACTGTTTTAAAAGTTGAATAAATAGTAAGAATTTTTTTCCGAAATAAGAATATAGAAAATCATAGGCAGTAATGCACATATATATATATATATGTATATATATATATATATATATATATATATATATATATATATATATATATATAGCAAAAAGATACTCCACACCAAACTCGACTTTTCATGGTGCCGATTTATGCGAGATCCAATTAGAAATGCCTCGTTAGCTAGAACTAGAACGAAAATTATAGTTGCACCAATGGAGTGAAGCGTCCTTCAATCATTGGTTACGTTAACCATTGCTGGTGACACAGGGTGTCATTGGATGACATAGGCCATCGTTGGTGAGACGGGTTTGGTTGGTGACATGGGGCGTCATATGTGACATGGATCATATTTGGTGACACAAGTCATCATTAGTGACATTTACCATCGTTGGTGACACAGCCTATCACTGTTGACCCGGGTCATCATTGATGACGTAAGCCACTTTTCATTTCATGGCACGGAGTTTTTTATGCTGGAACTTTCAAAATCAATAAACATTGCTATGTTGAGCCAGCTCAGCTTAAATGAGTACCTAGCATGAGTTGGGATGGAGTGAATTATCTTGTTCACCGAAGTCTTAGAACTGTCAATCTTGAACAGAAAAGTTTCTCATATTTACATTAAAAAAAAATTTCACAAAACACTACCTTAAACGTCTTACCACCAGACTATAATATTTTAACGCTTCTAACTTAGGCCTTAGTCAAGTCAACCACCAAATAATACAGACGTAGCGAGTACACAAATGGATGTCAGGCAAGGCTAAATCCCGTGTAGATAGATCAGAAGATAAGCTCGGACAAACAAACACGATTTGGTTTAATTAAAACCGACGCAGTAGTCTGGAATAATCCGTTGATTAGAGGATAATTAAAATGTTAACGAGCAGAAATGGGGTCCGTGATTTAAAGATACGGCGGGTGTAAAGACGGGATAGGTGTATGTGTGTGTGTGGGGGGGGGGGGGGGGGGGGAAAGGGGATGGGTGTGAGAGATAGAGGTCCTAAGTTCGAAGCTAGGACAGTCCAAGAAGCTTTTTTTTTTTTAAATTGAGCCTATGGTTCTGTTTTTGAAAGTCAATCTGGCTAAGCATTCCTCAACACCATCTCGACATATGTTGAGGTGACTGAAACAGCTGGGCTCTACTTCACCCGCAATTTTTGATTATCATCATCTTAGTGTGATAATGTGGTACATAGTAAGGTGGTGAAGTACCCGTTCAAACTTGACAGTCCATGTGGCACTTGATTTAGAGTTTGCCTGTTTCTGTGTGCTCAGCGTATGAAAATATAGTGTGGTCAAGTACTTATCAGAACAGGATTCTACATACATAAAACCCGGATTTGAACTCGAGACTTTCGGGGTAGGATTCTATCGCTCTAACTTCCTTACTTGAGGTTTCGGCGCGATAAAAAGTTCCCTTTCAAATCTGACTGTCTACGGAGCAAGTGAAGTAGTGTTCACTTGTTTCTGTGACCTCGGCATATGAAGAGATACTGTGGTCAGCACTATGCCCAGCCGCCTTTACTTTCCCTAACGTGAGTTAAGTACCCATCAGAGTTGGGTGGACTCAGGGACGGTTTACTGACTTGAACCCGGATTCAAACTCGAGACTTACGGGTTAGCAGTCCAGCTCTCATACTTTTAAGGATCATTTCGGCATGGAACTATGGATAAAAACCTGTTAATCTTTTACTGCAAGTCGAATTTGAAGTTCTCTTTGATTTAAAAATATTTTGTTACTCGTTATTTTTTCTTCTATTAACCACATTTCGAATTTGTAATCTTTACTTTTACGATATTGAGCCCCATTCGCTTTTACTCCCAAATATTTAGATTCTCCATGAGTAGGTCTACTCGACCAGCTAGTACATCGTTCGCACGTGAGAATAATCTATTACGTCACGTGGTGTGAGTAATTGGGTTCTCTGTGTTTAAAAAAAAAATCACATCAGGTAGATGCTTCCATGGCGACGGTTAAACAAACAAATCGGTTGTCCTGCACGATGTATGGTCTACCCCCATCCCCCTCCGTCAACCATCACCCCACCCCACCCACCTAACTCTCCAGCCGGGATGTACGTATAGAGTAAACTAGCAAATACCAAGGGCGCTCATTTGTAACGCTTTCTACGCCAGTGGTTCTTAAATTTTTGGAGGTACCGAACCCTACCAGTTTCATATGCGCATTCACAAAACCATTCTATCGTCCTTATCGACAAAAATAAGATCGTGAATAATATGAGTCGGGAACGTGTGTGTTTTCACCTCCGCCAAACCCTTGAGACTGACTCACCGAACCCCTGGGGTTCCAAATGAACCCAGGTTAAGAACCACTGCTTTACGTTCTATTTCTATAATAACGCATAAAATCATACCTGTTAGAAATACACCTTCAGTCTTCCCATCCCATAACCAACGTCGATGGATTGCACCAGGTTCAAACTCGTGCCCTTTAATGCAGCGATCGTACGCTTTATCATCCGACCACTTGCCTCCATCTACCTATTCAAGGCCAACATTAGTCTACACAATAAACCCCCCCCCCAACCTCCATAAATAATCACGTATTCAACCCATTGCATTTGTCTACACGCGAACCCCTACGTCACATCCGTCGCTCGACCAACTACGTCACTTCCGTCGCTGGAACAAGCCCGACTGCGCCCATAGACCTTCACCGGAGCGGCGGATGTACAACCAGGAATTATAAATAGTCCTCGGGTTCGGATAACGATCCATAAAACAGTGGATAACACTGTGGATCTAAGCACCGACAATCGCCACCACACCACAACACCCACGCTCAACACGAGCTCCTGAGTTAAAGGGACCGAACTCGTTATAGCCCCAGGTCACATCATTGTTTCCCTCCCCCTGATTCAATCACTTGGATTGTTATCAATATAGTACCCCGTACGCATGACTGCAGACGGAAAATAATTTTTTAAATTAAAACCAGTCAGTCAGTAAAATCTAGACGGGTGTAGTTGGTAAGGTATAGTTTTTAAAAATTTAAGATAAAATTGGAATGAACACGCCCGATCTAACTTTACCTGGGTTGAAAATAATTTTTTTTTAGTTAATTAATGAGATCGATAAGCTAATGAGAGGGACAAATAGTCGTGTGCACGTGTCTAGACAACGGGTGGGTACATTAGAAGGTTGAAGTGATCGTGGATGGTGGATGGATGGGTGGATGGTTAGGATGATAAATGGATGGTTTGGTGCGAGGATTAATCGGTGGGTGGGTGGGTGGATGGATTGGTGGATGGTTGGATATGTGGGTGGATGGATAGGTGGATCGATGTGGATGGATGGATAGATGGGTGGATGAGTGGATGGGTGGGTGGGTGGATGAGTGGATGGATGACTGGGTGGGTGGGTGGATGGATGGATGGATGGGTGGAAGGATGAGTGGGTGGGTGGATGAGTGAGTGGATGAGTGGGTGGATGTGGATGGATGGATGGATGGATGGATGGGTGGATGGGTGAGTGGATGGGTGGGTTGATGGGTGGATGATTTGGTGTGTGGTTTGATAGATTGATGGATGGATGGGTTGGTGGGTGAGTGGAAGAAAGAGTTTCACGTATGCAGTTAAAAAACAGACAAATAAAAATTGTTCTCATTCGTTCTCAATTGTAATGCTGGACTGTATTTCCACCAAAATTAAGTATTACGTATTAACTTGTTATCCGCCATATAGGCCGTTGACTCCTATTTCAGTCTGCTCTTCTTTTTGGATTTACTTCCATAGTTTTTATCCAACCAAGAACAAACTACAAAGCAGCAGTTGTTTGATTTTGGAGTTGTCTTCCCTACATGGGGTTACTGTTCCCAGCTATTGCGCCTCATCTGTCCGGGGGGTTCGAACTCGGGAATTTTTCTTTTAAGCTTTGAGCTTTACCTACCCGACCACACAGACCCCTAACCAAATATAACAAAGCTTAACATTTAGCGTTAAAACAATATTTTATCTAGTAATACAATTATTTATCCTCTCTATAAAATATATTCTTCTTGGTAACTATTGGTGGTGAGGGAGGGGGTGCTGGGGGGGGGGGGGGGGGGGGCTCGGAGCGTCTCTTGGAGAGATGCTTGAAAAAAAACATTTACCAACACGAAGGGGGTAGTACATAACGTCGCAGGAGGGGGGGGGGGTCCTATTTAAGGTGGATGGGGGGGGGGTGTTTCGATGTACGGTGGTGGGGGAGTGGGTCAATACACTGTTGCAAAGGGGTGGTGGTGCGGGGTGGGGTGGGTTGAAGAGGGAGTGGTCACCAAACGATTAGAAATACATTGTGATTTT